GCGGCTGGAGTGAAAAGCAGCCCTCCCGGGCCCTGGAGATCCGGGGCCTTCCGCCGTGTTTTTTCATGGATGGAGGAAAAAGGCCCCGCTGACAGGCAGCAGGGACCCTGCTTTCAGAGCAAACCACCACCCTCATGTTGTCACACTTTTACCGTCGCGGTTGTGAGCGGGGTTGTTTGGACCCACACGTCGTTTGCTGCGAGGTAAACAAAAACAAAAACAAAAGCAGCTTCCAGCAGGACTCCTGTTGGCTAATTTATTAGCCGCTAAGCTAACGGCTAAGCTAGCGTCGGGCTAGGAAACCGAGTCATCCTTTTTAGGTTTGAAACGTTTTGATAGTCGCATTTTAACGTTGTTCTGAATTCATTATTTTATTTCGCAACGCGTTTTAGGTTGTAAATTATTTGAAGCGGTTTTGAGAGTTCGCGTTTAGCTGTGATTGACAGATGCTGCCTGTGTCTTGTGGTGTATTTATTCGATGATCTGCTTTGTTTTTGTTTTTTAAAGATTGTCGAGCTGAGAGATTGTTTGCGGACAAAGTGGAGCATTAACCCTTCTGCCCTGCACCTTCAGCCCTGCAGGAGTTTCCGACGTGTGCACCAGCTGGTAAAATGCACACAACACGCATGTAAACAGTCACATCAGTCGTTGCAAGTTGTTTTTATTTTTTATTTTGCAAAATAACTGGTTCTACTTCTGCAGCTCAGCCGAGTTGAAAACATTAAAATGAGATGCACACTTCTCTGCAGCTTCCCCTGCTTTTTAAAAAAACAATTATTAAGCAACATGGCTTTAAATAGGGACGAGAACACAACTTGTTTACACAATAAATATTGTAATTCAACAGTTTTATACACTGAACAAAAATATTCATGTACACACAATAGACCTGTTCCTCTCAAATGTTCATAGAGGTGTGTACTTAGTGAGCACTTCTTTGCCAAGATAATCCAGCCACCTCACAGGTGTGGCATATCCAGATGCTGATTAGACGGCATGACTATTGCACAGGTCTGCTTTAGGCTGACCACAAACAAGACTACTCTAAAATGTGCAGATGTTGCAAGTTTTGAGGAAGCGTGCAATTGACGTGCTGTCTGCAGGAATGGCCATGTTCTAATAATTTGGCAGTCCCTTCAGCTGGCCTCACACCCGCGGACCCTGTGTAACCACACCAGCCCCTGTGTTCGTTCATAACATACGCTTGCCCATACCATAACCCCACCGCCACCATGGGCCACTCGATTCACAACGTTGACACCAGCAAACCGCTCACCCACGCAACGCCATCTGCCCTGTACTGTGAGAACGGGATTCTTCTGTAAAGAGAGCACCTCTCCAATATGCCATCGAATGTGAGCATTTGCTCACTCAAGTCGGTTCCGACGATGTCTGACAGTTTGTGCACTTTTTTTTTTTTGGTTATGCAAACCGATTGTTGCAGCAGCTGTCCAGGTGGCTGGTCTCAAATGATCTTGGGAGGTGAAGATGCTGGTGTGGTTACACGTGGTCTGTGGTTGTGAGGCCGGTTGGATGTACTGCCAAATTCTCTGAAACTCTTTTTTTGGAAATGGCTTGAATGGAAAAATTAACATTCAATTCATGAGCAACATCTCTGGTGGACGTTCGCCACGCCCAACTGCAAGCTCCCTCAAAACTTACATCTGTGGCATTGCGCTGTGATAAAACTGCACATTTCAGAGTGGCCTTTTATTGTGGTCAGCCTAAGGTACACGTGCAATAATCATGCCGGCTCATCAGCATCTTGATATGCCGAACCTGTGAGGTGGCTGGATTATCACAGCAAAGGAGAAGTGCTCACTAACACACATTTGCACAAATCTGTGAACAAGATTTCTGAGAAAAGGCCCATTGTGTACATACAGTCTTAAATCTTTGAGTTCAGCTCATGACAATACATACACATTATTATTATTATTATTATTATTATTATTATTATTATGAAAAATGGGAACAAAAACAAAAGTGTTGCGTTTATATTTTTGTTTAGTATAGATGCTTAAGGTGCATTAAAATCTCTGGACCATGCAGCATAATGTATCTACTTCTTTAGTACATTTCATTTGGCATTAAGTTTTTAATTTTATTTTTAGTTTCCTCCGCTAGTGATGGTGAATTTAAGAGAGATGACAAACCATTGGTAGCCGTCAGCTTTACATCCTTTGCTTCCAATAGTTCTCAACTCTTCAACTGCACTGAATTCTCATAATAAACATGAAAATGTTCCTTGGTGTCACGTTTTATCCGTTTGTAATACTTGCAAGAATAGTGCCAAAAGTGTTTTCCGTATTGGGCAGTTCAACATGTAAATGATGTACTGGTACATGTGATTTGTGAGCAATACGAAATGTAATCATAATCTATCAAAGTAACTTTTAAATATCCTAATGCTTCAGATCAGAATTGACTATAATTAGCAGTCGCCTTTTTAATAAAGCAGGTTTATAATTTTGAAATTAATTCAACGTGTTCAGATGTTAGTAGGAATTGTATGTTTCAAAAAGGCAGTTTTCAAGGTTAGCTTCATAAAATCCATTTTATTTATTTAGAAACCGCTCATGTAACGTCACCATCCGTCAAAATCACCACCTTTCAGTTTGGCTTCAAAATCCAACTAAATAGAGACAACAGTCCCCCGTCTATAGCTCCTTTTTTTTATTTCATCCACTTCTGTCTTCGCTCTGGAGCTGTTCGCTAAAGTGATCCGGAGCTAACCAGAGTTTAGGAAACAAACCAATGCAAATTTTTTTTTTTTTTTTTTGCAGTGATACGGTACATCGCATTCAGCAGATCTCACGTTTCACACTCAGTTAAAAAAAAACTGGCTATTTAAAAATACTGGAATCATCTTCAGAAGCAGGGTGGACTAATACATTTTTCAATAGGTGGTTCATTAACTGTCAGCTCTAAAACACACTAGAGACCTGTTAATAGCTGCTGGCTGTGTACATTTTTAATTTTCCTCCGAGCCAGAGAGGTAGCTTGAAAATCTAGAGTTGATGATTACAAAACAAAAGTGTCTTTAAATCTTTTGTCTGCATCCTGATAGGTTATTTATGAAGACGGGAGCTGATGCAGTAAGGGCAAATATTGAAACATAAATTTCTTATTTATCAACTGAGCCATTTATCTATAATGAACATGTTTTGTGATGACCTTGACCTGATGCATTAAATATTTATGCTGGCTGATTTTCACCATCATCAACTCGATTAGTCATATTTGGTGCAAGCAAGAGAACGGGTTTGTCAAAATCACATTCGAGTCTGACTGAGAACCTGCAATGAACTTGTGAAAAATGCACACACGATCACATGAAATAAAGAAGTGACATGCTCTTTATTTAAGTATACAAATAGTATTTTTAAATATATCAAGCACTGCTGGATGTTTAATTGGTTTTAGTGCTTTTACAGGAATTGCACAAGCTTACAAATATCAATAAACCTGAAACTGCACACATGTAAGACAAATATCCTTAAATTTTGGGCAAATCTCTACTGAACAGGAACGTCTTATTTCTTTGAATAATAAAATAGGTTATCTGCTGTTACACTTATCATGGTACCGTTTTTACTTTAGGTTTTATGACGGTATTTTGTTGTGATGAAGACTGACGGCAGGTCTTATTATGTGCTGACTCTAGCACGAAGTTTATGCTGCATGTTCAGAAATTTATCAGATGCAAAATCATTGTGTTGACGCAATGCAAAGCTTTACCCAAACGCAGATGAGACGGCACATATGAGGACGTTTGACCTCTTTGTCTTTTGTCTCGTTGGAAAAAAAAAAACTGAGGGAACTTGCATTTTCTTTTGTCACAAATTAGATGTTGTTTGGAACATCTTCAAAGGTCAGGTGATGTAATGCAAAAAAAAAAAAAGAGTATTTTCTCTGATTAATAATATCACTTAAGTTAGTTTTGTGGATTTTGAATCTGAAATAATTTAAAGCTGTGGTTGTTTTTTGTATTTTATTTTAGAAAACCCGTTTTCTATCAAGCTGCAAATACACTTTACATAAAAAAAATGGCTCTGCAATCAACTGCAAAAATAACAAGTGTTGGATTTGTCATTATTAATGAAGGCTTTTGTCCTTTAACTGGTTAAATGCATTGATTTGTTTCTGCATTTATATTGACCTATTGTACTGAAACATTTTCAACGTCATTGGTTGTAAAATCTTTGCCACCGAGACAGAAAACCAGAAATAGTTTTGTGTAAATTTTGGAGTTTATATTGTCTTTTTGCATTGTATCATAAAACGGACATTTTGTTATTAGCGTCGTCCTTTTTAATAATTAAATCCAGCGGTTAGTGGTGTTTGTTGGTGGCAGTCAGGTTACACAAAGATTTAAACGGGCGTGATGAAACATTTATTGCATCAGTCACTTTTTTCCTTCATTTAACACAAACAGTGGCGTTTTTAAAGTGAGTATCCCACGTGTTGTAGGTCGTGTGCTATCCAACCCAGTCAGAATCTGTTGTTTTTGTTTGGTATATGCTGCCTAAAGCAACCCTGACCTATTAGGATCTAAACACAGAATTTTCAGAGGTGCTCTAAAGCTTTATTTGCATAAACTAGCTCTATAAGCACCATTACCAGAACTGAGAACATTAGACGCAAAGAGCAACTATAGCTTCTCTTTACTGCTCTGAAGTTTTTGTTTATCTGTAAATTTGACTTCTTCATAAAGTGTTATATTGTGACATTTTATACTAGAAAAGTAACTGTTGTTTTTAATTATTGATTTTGTGCTTTAACGCTAATAACATTGTCTTTTTTTCCAGGCTCCCCAGAGAACTTCATGTCAAGACAAAATTTATCTTCCTCTGAAATAACAGCGTCTTTGTGGGACTGCTTGGACTGATTTTAAAATCGACTTATGGATATGAAACGATTTACAAAAACACTACAAACTCTGTTGTTTAATATAATTTCGTATGCTTTTTTTAAATTTATGACCCATTTTACGGCACACCACTTGAAAGCTTCATTCCTGAATGAAAAGTAAACCCAGTTGTACATTTATTTGAGGAAATTCAAGCGTTGACTTTTGAAGGATTAAAGTGTATTTTTTTTTTTTTAAATCAGGGTTTGAACGGAAGCTGGACTGTCTCCGAAAGTCAGACCTTTTAAGGTTAAAAGGGGCTCCTTGCTGTTTGTGGTGACTTTGTGCACAGTGTACGTCTGCTGAATTGGGAGATGTTCCAGTTCAGCAAGTACCCCATGGACATTCTGGAGATGCTAAGTGGACACCAAGCCCACCAGTTCAAAGGCCTTGGGTTAGATAGACAACTAAGCCACCAGCAGCAGGTCCAACTGCAGCACCAGCAGCAGTTGCAGCAGCAGCACCAGCCCTCTGCTGAAGCTACTGGGAGCTTGTTGTCTGGACTTGGACTGGGATCTCTTCAGAGTTCTCGGACCAATGCCTTTGCTGATTCTTCCTCATTATTTGCCAAAATGACTGCCCCTCCCCCATCCATATCCCATCAGAGCCAGTCATCCTCATCGTCCCATAGCTCTAGAAAGTCCAGTAAGATTAGCAGTGGCAGTTCGACATCAGGATATCCACAGTTTCTACGACCGTTCCATCCAGCTGAGGCCGCACTGGCTCAGGAGCAACTCCACTCTGGGATGGGACGTTTCGACTTCAGTGGAAGCAGTAGTGGAGGGAGTGCTGGGGTGATTGGCGTTGCACCTGCACCTCCTCCTCCTCTTCATCCAGGCCTCTCTGTCCCTCAACCCTCTTCTGGCCCATCGTCCTCTTCACCTTCTTCCTCTACCACTGCTTCAGCATCCAACAACCCTGCCAGCAGCACTGCAGTCCCCTTAGTTGGCCAGTCCGATCCACGCAGCCTCCACCAGCAGTTCAGCTGCATGCTTGCTGCCAACCAGTACTTCTTGTCTGGTGTCCCTACCAACAGTAGTCTGGAGCAGTTCCTTGTCCAGCAGGGCACACACAACCACTTGGGCTTAGGTCTTAGCCAAGGGGCCACCGAGTCTAACTCAGCCCTGGCCCCTCCCCCTTCCCTCCACTCCTCCCACAGCCATAGCCACAGCACTCCACAGCCTCAACAGCAACAACAGCAGCTAACCCCTCATGCCTTATCTCATCCGCACAGCCACACTCACCATCCGCACCCCCTCCACCCAGCCCCCCAGCCTGCTCCACTGAGTAGCTTTGATTTTCAAGGCATTCCAGTGCTTTCCAGTAACCAGATAGCATCATTAATGCAGCAGGAGGCAGGCATTCCCCTCCCCCTTCCTCTGCACCTGTCGCTATCTAAAGACGATACAACAAAGTCAGGGGACGGCTCGTCTTCAGCAGTTTCAAGTGGAGGAAGCAGGAGAAAGAAAGCGATGGCTGGCTACCTGCCCCAGAGGAAAGCGGACAACAACAGCAGCAATCAGAGCGGTCACAGCAGCAGCAGCAGCGTTGATAACTGCCACAACAGCAGCTCGAGTGGGCACAGTCAGAGCTCCTCTTCAGGCCTTGTGGGAGGAGGATCTGGGGGAGTTGGGCTAAGTGGCATCAGAAGTGAGACACAGCACTCCTCGATGCTCTCATCTTCCTCCCAGCAGCAGCAGCAATCATCTTCCACTGTCTCCTCATCTTCATCTGCCCCCACATCTTCCAACTCCTCATCTGTACTTGTAACCAATGGTAACCAACAACTCCCCAAATCCCAAGAAAGTCACAATAGCATCTCTTCTAGGCAGCCTGAGCCAGAACCCCTTTACCACTGTGGTGAATGTGGTAAAACCTTCACGCACCTCTCCAGCCTTCGAAGACATCTTCGTAGCCACGGTTTGACACCAGAAAGCCAAAGCAGGAAGTCTGACTGTAACTCTCCCAGTCCAGAAAGAATATTTTGCTGTGGCGAGTGTGGGAAAAGATTCAAAAAGAGAGGTCACCTCATCCAGCATAGTGTCACCCACTCAGAAAACCGGCCTTTTGTCTGCAGCATCTGCCAGAAGTCCTTTAATCGTAGAGAGTCTCTCACAAGACATGAAAAGATTCACGACGAGAAGCCCTTTCGCTGCCCGGCTTGTGGGCGTTGTTTCCGTGAGAGCACTTCACTTCTCAACCACGCTGCTTCAGGTGCTTGTGGCAAACCACCTCGCAGTTCTAAAAACCGGGCGAGCAGTGGAGGGAATACAAGATCCAGCCCGAGCAGCAGTAAAATGGGAAATGGTGGCAATGGAGTAGGAATTTCAAATAACGGTGGAGGGATGGCGGATGACAAGTATGCAACAGAATATTCCAGAAATCGATACCAAAACCAAACAGCCTACAATAGTGGGATAGATGACTACAGACGCTCACAAACATCAACACTTTACTCCTCAGAAAGTACATTAAGCAATGAAATGACCAGTCAAACTCTACGTAAGGCCCCTTTAGCCCCAACTCTTCATCCCCATCCACAAAGTCAGCAGCAGCACCAGCAGCAGCCCCACCTTCCCTTGTCTTCCCTATTGGATGATTCAGAGGATGAGGTCACTAGCAGTGCAATGTCAGCCATTGCAGCTGCTGCTGCAGCCTCCTGTGATATAAACTCAGAAAGTCGAGAAGGAGAAAGGAGGGACATCATTGGAGGTCTTCTGGGAGGATTGGGTTTTGGTAACTTAGGTGGGCCGTCATCAACATCTACCCTGAATGGTTCAACCTTTCCTTTAACCCACCCCAGCTTGCCCCAAGTAAAGCCCAAAAGGCCACGGAAACCCAGAGAAAAAAGGGACCCCAACACCGTCGTGAGGAGGAGGAGGAGCCCAGCGCCTCCAGGGGACGGCTCAGAGAGGCCTTATGGGTGTCAGATTTGTGACAAACGCTTCCGAAGGGCGGAAACTCTGCGGCGCCACAACCGCGTGCACACAGGAGAGAAACCTCATGGCTGCGAGGTGTGTGGCAAAATGTTCCGTGAGCCCTTCCACCTCACCAAACATCTGACTGTGCACTCTGGTCAAAAGAACTACAAATGCAATCTTTGTGGAAAGATGTTTGCTTACGCACAGAGCCTTGTTAGACACGGCAAGTTGCACAGAAAAGGTGAAATTGACAACCAGGGCCGGAGAATAAAAGGTGCTGCTGCTGCCATCAGTCAAGTTGCCAATTCAGGGAACTCTGACTACTTCTCATCGTGTTCCCAAGAAGAAAAGTCTCCAACCTCTGGCACCCCCTCTCAGAGGCTCTACACCTGCACAGTGTGCTGGAAGTCATTTCGCCACTATTTCCACCTTACAGCACATCAACAGACTGTCCATGGCGGGGGGGTGGGGCTTGAGAAGTCCTATCGTTGTGAGGTATGTGGCAAAGCCTTTGCCTACTCCAACAGTTTAGTGCGACACAAGTTATCGCAGCACGGCATTGACCGCGGTGGTCAACGCGTCAACCAGTCTCAGCCATCTGAATACTCGACGCTTTTTTACGATTCCAGCGTAAGTTCCAACTATGCTGCATCATCCCACATTCATCAAGGGGTTTCAGAGCAGCAACCACAGCAGCAGCCACAGCAGCAGCCACAGCAGCAACAACAAATACAACACCCTTTTCCCTACCATGCAAAAAACTTCCAAAAGCGACATGGTCAAACAAGAAAGCACCGAAAGAAGAAACGGCGAATAGTGATCCATAGCATCATGAGAGATGGGAAGCTGGTGGGTGTTCCTTTGAGTAAAGACACTCGGAGGAAGCTAATGATGCTGAGGAGAAGAAGGGGAAAACGGCAGGCTCAGTTCAACAGAAAAAAGCTGCTGGCCCAAATTAGAAAAAAGGGGTGTATAATGAAAGTCAAATCATGGTGTGGGGGGGCTGTCAAAGTTACAGGACTCGCTTGTATGGATGTCCCCCTCAAGCGCTTCCCCTGTCCCATCTGCCCCAGTACTACATATGCCAAACAGGGCTCTCTGCTGGTGCACCACGCCGTCAGGCATCCACCAAGAAACTCGGGCCGTAACGCCCGTCTGAGGTGCCAAGTGTGTGGACGACGGACCTCCTCGTTACACAAAGCCTTGAAGCACAGAGGCCAGCATCTGAAGCAAGCTGCATTCCAGTGCCACAGATGCCACCATCGTTTCTGGAACCCTCGTCTCCTGGCCCGCCACAGGTTCTCCTGCAGGGGGACAACCATCGGCGGCATGGGTAAATCCTGGGACCTGACAAAGGCTGGATTACCGGCTACTGCCCAGTCATTTCGTGAGCATTCACCCGTCCACTTGTCAATTCCATCTCTGGTCCAGCCTGATAGATCAACAGTTCTAACCGAGTACGCTCAGTAAAACACACAATATTTTTTAGGTTTTTTTTATAGATTGTTTTGAAATTTATTTTTTATTAAATAAACCAGGATGCGAACAAGAGCTAACGTGTTTTTAATAAATAAGTGGGAGAACGGGGAGGACATTACAAAACGTCCTCGTATCCCCACGTGGCGAAACCTGTCTGCAGTCCAGACGTACTACAGCAAAGGTGGTTGACAAAAGGACATGAACTTCTAAAGGCCTAAAGTTAAAACCACCCAACGCACTTGTCTTTTTCCTGAACGTGAATAAACGTTAATCATTTTAGTACCATCCGTTTGGAAAAAGTAACTCATCTACTTTTTTTTCTGTCATTGTTCTAATGTTTAAATTTCTAATTTGCTGCGTTTGAACATCAAAAGAAATCGGATGCTTGTAGAGACGAGGTACCTCAGTTTGTTTTCACATTGTTTACCGTTAAACAGTGGTCATTATGCTCTGTGTTGATCCTTGGAAGAAAAAAATATATATACCAGTGTGACATTCACCCTTAAGAAATTTATCTCTAGAGCAGTGGTTCCCAACCCTAGTCCCTGTGGAACACCATCATGTGCATTTTTAGTTCCTCTGCTCCCAACACAACTGATTTGAATGCAAGGGGTTTTTAACAGGCATCTGCCAAACTTAAGGAAGTAATTAAATCATTGAATCAAGTGTGTTGGAGCAGAGAAACTAAAATAGGCAGGATGGTGTTCCTCAGGGACCAGTGTTGGGGAACCACTTCTTTAGAGGACGTAAATCCAGATTTGATACAAAGTAGTTTATGAAAATGGCCTTTGGCACAGTACACCATTTATTTATCACAGGAAGCCAAACTGGTTTCTGTACTGAGGTCATTAAATAGTTTATTTTGCCTTGTTTTAATGCACACTACGTAAATCATTTAAAAACGCGTACATGAAGCTTAGACACGACTCAAACTGGTTCAGGATTTGAAAAGGACGAGAATAAAACATACTGTACAATTCAATATTTTATTATATACTATTTTACAGTTGTTTTTTACTCCCAAGTATTATTACTTTTGTCATTGTTGGTATTGTATTGGTGGGAGGGGACGAACTCGGACTTTGTAAAACAGTGGGATGAGTGTTCGTATCCGTGTGATCATTTTCTCCACTTCTTCCCGAGCCCTGTTTACCTGCTTCCTCGTTGCCTCACGTCCCATTTTTTTGTAACAAAACTGTGTTCACATAGTTAAATTTTAGGTCCTGTCCAGATGTGCTTCTTCCTTATTTTTAATTTTTATTTTTAGGTTTTTCTGTAAACTAAAATGTGTAAAATTATTACTAAATTACTATCTTTTTTTTTTTTTTTTTTTAAGTGACTTGTTGAAAACCTGCAAATAAAAATCTGAAATGTTACTTTCACTTTTTTTTTTTTATTTACACGGTTCTGATAAATTTTATTTTCATCACTGTACTTAATATTTAATAGGCAAAAGATGTTTAAATTTGTTGATAATTGGAATGGTTACTGGTTTTTGTAGGTTACAAGTTTAAAATTGCAATTATGTTGGGAGAAAAAAAAAGGTTTGGATAATATTTTTTATTTGTCTGCAGTTATTAAATTGAGATTTCACATTTAAATGATCAAACAGTAAAGTTATATTCCTGGAATGGCACTGAGAACAGAGCAACTTAAGTTTTTGTGATTCTCTCGACTGGAGATGAAAATAAATTTGGTTCCTAAATACTAAAATCTGCACAGTGACATTTTACAAATCAAAGTTTTTGTTGTTTCCATCGCAAAATATTAACTTAAATGCATTATGGAGAACTTCTGATTTAATTGCTTGGCCGTCATGTCCAGCTAAAAAAAATCCTGCATTTAGCAGTAAATTAAAAAATAAATAAATAAATTTCCAGTAAACAGTAGATTAACAAAGGCTGCAATTTGTGTCCAAAACTTCAAAAGACTGTTTAGCATCTAGCACCAAATATGTGTTTCCTTGGTTACAAGGGGGGGGGGGGGATGCATCCTATTTAAAGGATAACTCAATGGAGAAACAGTACTGACACTTAAGTTTTATAAGATGTACAAGTAATGTCTTTTTTTTTCCTGTTAAAAGGAGTGACACTAGTTTGAAGATAAATTAAGAAATTAATTAACTTGTGCATCGGTTGAGTGTATTGACTTTTAAGCGAACCTATTTAGTCTTTCAACACCTAAAAGTGCCAAAACATTTATTTAATTGAATTTACCATACTGCATTACCGACGTCAGCCATTAGATGGCGCCCTGTACTTTTCAATGATGGCTGCAAGTTTAAAGCAGTGGACAAAAACTACTAAAACCTAAATCAGACAGTATTGTAGTGAAGTTGTTTCACGCTCCTTCCTGTCAGCATGAATGCTGTTTTTTTTTTTTGTGTGTAAAGCTGATTTTGCTGTTTGTCACTAAAGTGTGACATCATCTCACTCAGGGTTTTTCTAGGAACTGTCACCGCAGAGCAGCTGCTGCTGATTTATGGCTCTGTCAGATTAGTATCCACTGGAAACACAAGATGTGGGATTATGTGTGATTTACACCTGCACTTTATTTTAGGCTGTTGGGCTGATCGTGTTCGCTTTCACTCGATTTATTTTTTACTTTACAGGTCACACAAATGTCCTTTTTAGAGCATTAAAAACAAACATGAATTTGAAGTATTTTTCAATTACAAAATGATACTTTTTATTGTACTGCTTAGTATAAAAGATGTCTTTAAAAAGCAATAAACTGAATCCATAGTGTAAATGACACAGCGCAAAAATTAGATTTCAAAATAAATTCTAAGAAAACATTTGCTAGTCATCTTACTTTAATTTTAAATTAGATATATAATTAAGAAAATTATGCATCATCTATATACTCGCAGTAATAAAATATTGTTTTTAGTTCGATTTATCATATAAAGAGTTAAGAATAATGTACATGAAATGTGATGCAGTACATCCTCCCACTCTTTCCATAAAAACATCAAAATATAATCAAAACACTTTATCAACAGTTTACAGTGACGTGTACGTAAATATAGCATGTTAAGTAAAATGAAAGGAAAAATCATTATCATTGGCTAATAAATCTGTTATGAATTCCTGATTAAAGTATGTTAGGTTTTGTACTCTAAACAGTATATTCTTGTGTACTTATATTCCACCTTTTATTTACTTTTTAAATAAACATGTATGTGTTCATCTTGTCATTATATTACATCTGTTTGTTTTATATTTTAATTTGGGTAAGTTTAATCTTTGAAGTAAATCTGATCTTTTAATTGTTCCTCCAGAAGGGAAACACTTTACCCTCTGAGCTGTCACGTGGCTGTAGCATGGGAAAGCCTGTGGGCGGAGACTCTGACCTATTTTCAGCCAATCAGAGTCCGAGACTGGCAGCGACTGACCTATATTCAACCAATCGCAGCGCAGCTCAGCCGCCGCTAGGCAACAGTGGGCGCGTGCGGAGAGCACGTGACAGTTCGGCGTAGAGAGCGCGAGCGAGCGGAGAAGTCGACAAACAGTCCGTCCATTTTATGGGATTTAATGCGATTTAAACACTTTTCCTGCCGTTCTTTCAAGAAAAAAATACGTCTGAAAGTTGCTGTTTAGTTAAAAACACAATAAGTTCCACGCAAACAATTAATTTTTTTTTAAAAAATTCGTGTTTAATGCAGATTATTTTAAACGTTCTTACCTACTTGTCTAAATGGAGTACACCATGTTGTGGACTGTAAAGTCTGTTTGACGTTTTATTGATGACAAAAATCCGTTGGACACCAAGCGGGAGAAACAAAAGCAGACACGCACGACCTGTGACTGTGCATTTCATTAAAATTACACCCGGTCATTTTTTTTTTTTTCACCTCTGTGTTTACATGACAGCGTGAGAAAAGAGGAACAGGGCGGAGAGCTTTCCCTCTCCATCGAGGAAGACGATCGGCTCCGACGGACGTGATTGGATGGGCAGGTCCAAACAAAGGCTCGCTATTGGTTCAGCTTGCGAGGAGGCGTGGTTTTAGCGGTGCTACGTTCAATAAAGCTTGTAAAAATAAAGACGTTCTGTTTAAACGCAAAAAAGGGGTCAAATCAAGTTTAAACGCAACTACACTACATATCAATAATAAAGTACTAAACAATGCAGCAAAAGCTTTTGTATTTTAACATAAAAGTGGAGCAATTTAAAGTTGGAACTATTCTGCTCTTGTGGTTCAGTGCAGACTTGAGGTGTTACAATTCCTTAATGCAAAGTCATGACTAGAAAAAAATATTGATGGTTAACTTTTCTTTAATTAAAAAAAAAACATCTGAGCAGTGCGTTTTTCAAAGAGCCAAACTGACTGGAAATAGGTCAAACATTAAACCTACACAGCCATGCAGCCGAATGTAGGTCAATCCTGAGACTCATGAGTCGACTTTTTTTTTTTTTAAGTTTCAGATTCAGCTGAGTGTTGTTTACATTGAGTGTGGACCTGCTTTTCAGAACACCTATAACTAAATTTGTATCTGTGTGTATCACAGTAACTTCTTTATGTTTGAGTTTATACTTCACAGTGAGTACTTTTAATAGTTTATTTTTTGCCACAGCTCTCCTTTGGGTTTGAGCCTCATCAGTATAAATAAATTTACCACTGATACGTAAACATAGAAAGATGAGTAAAACGTCAAAGATGAATAAATTAATAAATGTGAATCTTCTTTCAGTCGTTTCCTCTGTAGGGGTCACCACACGGAGTCATCTTGCAGCTCACCCTGCACCCTCTGTCCTCACTCCAACTAAAATGAATAAACCATGAAAGACGGCGCAATGGAGCAGTGGTTAGTGCTGTTGTCTTACAGAGAGAACGTCACAGGATCGCTTCTCGGCCTGGGACTTTCCTTGGTGGAGTTTGCATGTTCTCTCCATGCATTAGTGGGTTTCCTTCAGGTACTCAGATTCCAGATAAAAAAAAAAAAACATGCACGTTCGGTTAATTGATAACTCTAAATTGTCCTTAAGAGTCTGAATTTTTGTTTGTCTTGTTTTATCTTTATGTGTTTCTGTGATGGACTTGGGACTTGTCCACGGTGTCCCCTGCCTCTTGCACAATGACCGCTGGAGACGGTTGCAGCCTGAAAATGAAAATAGTGGACCATGTCTTCATGTGCATAGTAAAATGATGGCTAAAAAAAAAGCATGATTTTTAAAATAAATTTATGATGATGATAATGGTTAGAAAAAAAAACAAAATAAGATCAATATAAAAACGCAGGTGGAGCAGACTGGTGATAAACCTTTAAATAAAACAATGTGTATGGCTGGAAAAGTAGATATACGACGTATACTGAAACACATTGAGAGTGAAATTCTAGGACTTAAAAAATTGTACAAAACAAAGCAAACCAAAAGTAATACCAAAACAACAACAAACAAACAAAAAAACCCACCTAAATTACTATAACAAAATCGCGTTTTTATATTATTATATTTATTTTGAAGACTGATTTATTTCATATCTACTTTGCTGTGACCTGAAGAAACCATCTAGTATGAGCAGTTCTCATATTTCCCACCGTTTCCGCGTACCGTGAAAGCACAGCATCCTATCTGAGCGTTGGTGGGCGTGGCTGTGAACCGAAGAGGGCGTGGTCAGGCCTCGCAAACGATCCACTCCGCCGAGCGCCTTTCCCCCGTGAGCGGTGACGTGACGCGAGCGGCTCGTGTTGGTTCCAGCTGACAGGCGGAGAGAGAACGGCGAGAAGAATGAGCGGCTGTGTACGTGCGCGCGCGCGACTGTGCGTGTGGGCAAGAAAGGGAGGGAGCGCGAGAGAGGGAGGAAAATAAGAGCCATCATTTACTGGATTTTATTATTTTTTGAGGGGGGCTTTCTTTATTTCTTCCATCTGGTTTTATTTCGCTCATATTTACGCGCAGTTTTGTTTTGGCGGATTTTTTTTCCTCCGTTTTGGAGACTTCCCACCGCCGCGTTCCGGCTCGGTTCTGCTGCTTCTGACCCATCTTTTCACTGCACCATCACCGCTTTTATTTGTGCCTGTTTGATTTCAGCTGTCATTGATTGTCCCTCTCTGGGGAGGGCGAAATTCTCCATCGGATCAGCCGAGCACCGGACCGGACCCAGCACCAGTCCATGAAGAGGACTTGGACCGGGTCTTCATCTGAAATAGTTTGCTGAAGCGTCGAGAGGAACTCCTGAAGGCTCAGGATGAATTAAAGCAGCATGCAGCCAGTGTGGAGATAAACCCCCCCCTTTTTATTTGATTTTATTCCATTTTTTTTATTTGCACATTTTCACGCATGGGACGAGCGGCCTCACCTGTCCGCGCACCTTTTGACCGCGCGCCCGTCACTTGGCACTAACCGGATTACTCTGATCTCAAGCGCACTTTCTGCAGGTGTTTGCCCCCACCCCCCTCCTAAAAGCTATGTCCAGGCCTCTCACGCAGCTACTTCCGCCGGATATTCCCGCGGGGGCCACGAGCCCGCAGTTTGGGGCCAGCAGCCCGGCTGGAAGTGTCCCTCAGGGGGGGCAACTGACCACCATGACCAACCTGAAGTCCCTGCTCCAGGTGCCAATCAAGGCCGACCAGAGATCCCCCAAGGACTGTTGCGAGACTAAGGGTGAGTGAACGCACGCGCTCGTGCGTGTGAGTGTCAGGGGGGACTTTGATTGTTTTAAAGGGAAACGCATCAATCAGCTGAGTTTGTTTACACTGTTTGTGTGATGACATTTGTTTACTTAAAAAAAAAAATCCATCTTTCAAAATAAAAGGCAACGAGAGCATGTAATTAAAAAATGACAACTTTAAATCTGAAAATGGACTGAAAGAAAGTCTCATATATATATATATATATATAT